GGTGTCTGCAGAGCTGTTGCTCTCCCATGTCTCACTCCTCTCTTCAGCTGCTGCCACACAGTTCCTTAACTGTGTTATCCCAGAGGTGCTACTACCATCACTGATGGGCTCAGCCTTGGCCCATTGTGGATCTTGAAACCACTGGCATTGGCTCTGTTGGGCATGGGAGAAGCTTCTGGCAGGTTCTCACAGAAGCCACCCCTGTAGACTCCCGCTACTAAAACCTTGCCACAGAAATCCAATGCAGATGGTATCTGGACATTTGGAAGCTTTGTATGAATTACTATTTGCTTTAACCAGACTTTGGCACTGCCCTGTATGTTAATGCAAGACTAATGTAAATGTGCTGTATCAGCATGACTACAGGGATGGTTTACACTATTAGCTTAGTGAATTTAGTTATGCCTAACTTTACTATAGCTGCAGATGCACCATGAAAAGCTGGATCTGTGCTAGTACATAGATAATCCTATAGGAATTTGCATAGGATCTCAGCTTCACTGTTCCAAAATTCTGTAATCTGCTATGGAAAATTTGAGATCAAAGTCATTCTCAGGGGAGAGTGATGCTGACCTTAAAAATGCCTCTCTTCATGTTACTGCTGTTTGGCAACAGGGTTGTCTTCCAAGAATGGGTGGATTCTGGTTTTGTTTATTTATTATATATTTGTTTTCTGGGAAGGTGCAGTTACCTGGAATACATTTGTCTTTATCTTGTTCTGAGTGACTTCGCAGTGGTGATGGCAACTGGGAAACCAGAAGTGTATGAGGGAAGATTGTGAGAGATTCAGAGTTCACAGTGATTGCTTAGCGTTGCTGTAGTTTCAGGTTGCTGGATAGTTTTTCGTAGATCAAGTGCTAGTTAATGGTTTCTAAATCTAATGTATTGCTGTTCTATTCTTGCTTTTTTACAGCTGATGCCTTTGATACATTGACCCTCAGAGCATGAAATTGCTTTGTGAGGTGGGTGGGGGTAGATACAGTCAGGGCCAATAATGGGGTCTGGAATCTGCAGGGTGAAGAAAGCATTAGTGCACAGAGATGTTAACCCAGTAACAAGTCCAGGAAGTGGAGCCATGTGGGGTGCTGACACTTAGGGATTATATGGCAAAGAAGGCAAGAATTCATGTGGAGGCCAGCTACTGGAAGCCACAAGTGCAGCCTTCTATTCATTATGTTTGACCTTTGCTGTACACTTTAATGGGCCTTATTGCTAATTCTTTTTTTTTTCCTAAAAGGCAGACATTTTTTACAGAAGATTTTCCCCAATGTAGCCGTTTTAAAGTGGTATAATTTTAACCTAAACATGCTGAAATCTCTCTGACAATATACATCTGCTTAGGTAACCAATTTATTTTCAGTAATGCTGGTTATAGCCAGTTCTTTACATAACTGTAGCTAATGAATTGATAGACCCTGAAAGAATTTGTGCCAGAATGTGATGCACTGTTGTAAAAAGTTTTTGAATTAAGTCTTTGTGGTTTTCTGAAGCATCTTTATCCCTATATGTAGGAGACAGTTTTGACTGATATATTTCACTTTCTCCTACTGCCTCCCCCTCAAAAATCAAAGTGAAAACATACATGCGGCTTACCTTCTTGTGTGCAACTTATCAGTTCTTGGTGGAGGAGATCAGTGTGGTTTTTTCCCCCCCTTATCCCACTCTGACAGAACAGCAGAGAGTTGCCATTTGGCAAGTAATTATAACTTGTCTGTGTGCCAGTATGCAGCTAAACCCTTCAGTTTCTATTTCATACCCCCAAATTAATCCAAACTATTAGCTGTAGTTGGAAGATAACAGCACCAGCAGCTGGCAAGAATATAAAGCAAATGTCTGCTGTATGTAGTCTGAATTGAAATGTTAAAGTTGGTATTTTACGTCTTTGTTTTTTGTAGGAAGCCAGCACAAGGTGGAAAAGGTACTGTCTGGTTAAGTTAGATTAACCACAATTTCTCAAGGTGATTGGCCTGTGGTTCATGGTGAGCAGCCTTACTCTATCAAAAGGTTTTGTGCCTCTGTGTTAAACTTGGTCTGAGGGGCTGATTTGACTCAGAACTCTGCAGTAAAGGTTATTTCTTAAGCCAGATCAGTTCTGTGATCTCGTTTGTTATTTGACTTAGCAGACGCTTGGGCTGATGGAAGGGGTGCATGGGACTGTGACTGTACAAATTAGCACTGCTGCTGGGAAGTCAGAGCTTCCCATTCTGGCAAACCCTTGCCTTTGACCAAAAGGAGAGGTGGAGGTAGTTACAGATGTGAGTGAAATTAAGAAGGGCTGAAAACCAGGTTGAAGTGGTGGAAGCCAAAGCATTTGGCTCAATTGTGAACTCAATAGCTGAAGCCAATGAATAATGAGATAAAATACTTCCACACTCAGTGACTAAAACTTAGTGCAAATTAGGTGTAACTTTTTTGTTTTTTTTAATATCTTCACTTTTTGCTATTGTTAGTGACTTTTGATCTGCTTTAGAAGTCTTCCTGGAGTACTTGGCAGCAAATGCCTGCTCTCCCCGAGGAAGCAAATATTGAAGAGACTGGTGAACAGTCAGTTAAACTGAAAGATACCTGTTTTCTCATCGCATCTCCCACATAAATTGGTATGTGTGTACCCTCCAATGATAAGTGTTATCATTTCAACTGTAGCAGAAAATGGAGCTAGTGCTTTCATTTTAAATCTGTCATCTCTTTTTGAAAAACTCTGATTTACAGTATCATCTGTGGAGTTTGTCTACGGCATCCTCTATGAAACTGCTTCTGGGTACAACAGTTCAAACACATTTTAGATTAAAAGTTGCCTTGTGAATTATGCTGTAGTGGCTTGGCCAAATGCCCATCCAGCCATGCTCTCACTCTCTGTACCTCAACCAAGCACAGGGAGAAAATAAGATGGAAAAACTTACGGGTCAAGACAAAGATAGGGGGAACACTTACCAATTACCCTCATGGGCAAAACAGACTGGACGTGGGGAAAATGAATTCGGTTATTGCCGAGTAAAATAGAGTTGGATGATGAAAAACAAACAAAATACCTTTTCCTCCTTTTCCAGCACTCAACTTCAATCCATCACTTCCGACTCTGTACTTCACCTGTCCCTGATGGTTGCAGGGGGATGGAAAATAGGGGTTTGTGGTCTGTCCATTACAGCTTCTCTCTCCTGTTCCCTCCTCCTCATGCTTTTCTCATGCTCCGGCATGGCCCTCTCCATGGGCTACAGGGAATCTCCTGTGGTGCCTGTAGCACTTACCCTCCTTCTCTGACCATGCTAGTTTTGCTCATAGTGTCCTCCCCCACGCTCCCCATTCTCTGTGTGATATTTTCTGTCTTTTCTTAAGTGCATTTTCCTAGATGAGCCACCAGCTTGGCTGATGGGTTCAGTTGTGCCCTGTGGCAGGTTTGTTGAAGCTGGTTTTGTCTGTCTTCTGCTAGATGACAGTGGATATCAGTCAACCTTTTGGGGGTTAAAGATCTAGTTAAGAGTGCCCAGTCCACTTTTCCTAAGTTGAGTTGAGAATGCTGACAGGGTTCACTTTCTCAGGAGATTTGCAGAATGGTGATTTCTGGCAAGGGGGCAACAGGAAGCACTGGGAGGTGAGCTGTAATTCCTGTTGCAGTTTAAGTTCTTGTTAAGACAAAGATAATTCATCCATCATCTGTCTTCCCTGATCCGTTCAGAGTAAAGGCACCTAGGGTTAGCTGAACCTACAGGTAAAGGTGGATATTACCTGCATTCTTTCACTGTCTGGGGGAGATTAGAGAGAGCTTGTACCTTGCCTTAGCCTGACAAAATTGTCGAGGGTAACCTCCATCTTATTGGGTATTGTTGAAGGTAAATAATTTGACTACTGCATAGAGAATTAAGCTCGTAATTGTGCTGCTGAAAATGGCAAGGAAGCTATCATTCCCCTGAGACGTTGCATAAAGATGTGGTACTGTGCCATTTAAAATATTTAACAGCTCTAAGGCCTGCAATATTTTCTCCTTGTGTAAGAGGCTTTCTTAATGTTTTCTGTTTTCAAGTTTCAGAATTTTATCACAGCTACATTGACCTCAGAAAGTCTTACTGATATCTCTCTATTTTTTTAAGGTACTAGCATAAAGCTGCTAGTCAGGGATGCTTTTCTGTAGTCTAAACACTATAAAAGGTTTCTAGATAACTGTTTATAACAAGTGTTGAAGAATTTTGTAGATGGATGAAGACTAATTTAGCAGTTTGCCATCTGTTACTGAAATTAGCCCTGTTGGTAGTTAAGCTTCTTCCTTTGGAATGAGGCGGTAGCCTCTGAGTTTCCTTTTTAGGTTGGTTACAGAACAGTAATCTGTTACACTAGTATCTTGCTGTGATTAACGCTGCAGGCTCAACTCCTCAAAACAGCCCTTTAACCCAAACGAGCAGGCTGTTCCCCCATTCTTCTGACAACATGTGTTTGCACCCTCCTTTCTGCTGGCACAGCTGTTTGTGTGGACATGTGGTGAACTGCATTAGCACTCTTCTCTTTTGCATGATTTTTTTTCTTTTCTTCTTCCAGATCAGCTGCATGCTGTGTTTGGCGCAGATATGCAGGCAAAAGTGAAGGTGTGTAATAGGCTGAAGTTGTAAGGCAGCACGGCTGTTTTCTTCCTTCCCCAGGGGCTGTTCATTTATCAGGTTAAAATGCTGAGGGTTTGTTTTAAGGTCTTTCCTGAGCCTTCTCTTCTCCAGGCTGAACAAGCCCAACTTTTTCTGGCTTTCTTCATAGGAGAGGTGCTCCAGCCCCCTGATCATCTTCATGGCCTCCTCTGGGCTCACTCCAGCAGGTCCACGTCCTTCTTATGCTGCGGACCCCATAACTGCACACAGTACTTCAGGTGGGGCCCATGAGAGCAGAGTAGAGGGGTCAGAATCACCTCCCTCAAACTCCTTTGGATGCAGCCCAGCGTATGGATGGCTTTCTGGGCTGCTAGTGCCGCTGCTGGGTCATGCTGAGCTTCTCATCGCTAATCATATCACTGAAGGCTTGTGGATTGATATGCAGGTTTTTTTACTTATTGAAGCTAACTGCATAGCGGTAATATTGAATATGAAATAAGAAAGCAGGGTTTTAAGGAAATTAAGCAGGCAGACAGCTGAATTACTAAGCAAAGCAAATTTGGCTGAAGACATGGAGCTTGGATTTCTTTTTTGAGCTAGTTTGTGCTGACTTTGCAAGCAAACTTCTTTCTCAAATCCTGGTGGCCTCCATATAGTAGCCTTAAAGTTCCTGTATTTTGTAGGTGGTAAATATTGATTTGTGCCTACCTCTTTTTAGCTGTATCCCTTGGAAGGCATTGTGAAATCTGTGGTGATTAACTGTTACCATAGTACAGGGAATGGGCTTGCAACTATTTTTCCAAGCAAAGAATATCCTTTCTAAAAAGCAATGAAGAAGCTTTTAAAATTGTCTAATCCCATGCAGCAATTTCTTCCCTTGCTACTGGAGTAATTTCTGTCAGGCAGGTGAAGCTTTAGACAGTTCAGCTGCAGTGGCTCTGCTATAGAAGAAATGATGTTTGAGGGGTCTTTTTGCAAGCACTTGCGTACTTGAATTTTCTAATTGTAGTTATTTGCCAGTATGTCAGTGTTTGATCCTGTCTTAGTCTGTTGATAGCAAGGAAGACTTCTGAAGTACCTTTTTTCAGGCTTTCAGAAACACTTCTGCAAGACTGAAGGTGGTTAAAATAGTAGTGTTATTTCTAATAGATTCATTCTTTGTATGCTTCTTCATGTCTTTGTGTGTGCTAGCAACCGATATTTGTGCATGTCTGTATGGAAGCATCTTCTGGGTTGTTCAGCTCACTTAAAGAAGGGCTCTGTCCTCTATATAGACCAGAAGAATCCTGGTGGTTATGTCTGCTTTTCAGTAACTTCTTTTTCCCTTCCACTGAAAGCAGGATAACCAAACAAAAGCTCAAAGAATGAAACATATCCTGCTGTAAATTCTTCTCTTGTGTTTGTGTAGCTTCCCTCAGTCTTGGCAACCTGAAAAACCCTCACTCCCACTGTCTGCTCTGTTGGCCTCTTCTAAAGATCATGGCACTCTCTCTTCCTGAGCCTTCTTGTCTTCACAGGTTACTGTAAAAGCAGGTTGAGGGTTTCTTCCCCCCCCCCCCCCTCCCCCAAGGTACAATTAGTTTTCAATTTAATGTCTTTATAGAGCATAGCTATGCAGAATGTCAGCTACACCATCTGTCCCATCCATATCATCTGTCATTCTACTTCGAGCCACCTGTGTTAATAGGGAAAGCTTTGCTTTGCTTGTCAAAACACCTTCAACACTTCTGTGGTTTTTAACCACTTAAATAAAAATAAGAAAAATAAAATTGGGGGGGGGGGCATAATCAGTTGTGAATGACAGTGTGTTGTTTTGGTTTTAAGAGCTGACTGTATCTTTTGGGTTATTTTGGGTTTATTAATTTTCTTTAGTCAATGGAAATCATGGAAAAAGTGAAGTACAAGCAAGAGCAAGAAGAGATCTCAATCTAAAAACACTGCAGAGTCTGACAGATAGAATTAACTGTCTACAGCACCATGGGATACTTCGTTAAATGCTTTAGAGCTCAAAATGTGTCCTGAAATCTCTTCTGTGAACCTTGATTATGCTAGGGGAGAGCTAGCAAGAAACACTGTTAAAGTGCTGTTCTGGAACACTTATTTGATGGAAGTTTGCATTCCCATGAAAACAAAACTAACTGCTCTATTGTAAAAATATTTACTGTGAGCAGCAGAACTTCAGAACCTGTTTTTCTGTGAATCTGTCCTTTTTCCTTTATGGCATGTTAATATCTGTGTGTCCCAGCTCTTTTTACTGGCAATTTTTTTGGGTTTTGTTGCCAGGCAGGAATAGTACATACTTAGGTGGAATAAACTGGCCAAACAGCATGTAATATGAGAGTTCTTCATGCGTTTCTCTTCAGTGGCAGTGAGCTTGGTTTCTGTCTTGGCCACTGACAGCTTACAAAACGTACAGAAAAGTTGAAATTGGACAAGGGTTCAAAGGCAGTTTTGGGGAGGAGAGGGGCAAGTAACAGTTCGCACAAAACTTACTCAGCTAAAAAACTGGGGAAAGTAATATAAAATTACAGCAGAAGATCAACATATAGTTGAGCTTTTCCTTGTTTGTAGGTTGAGTCCACATCTTGTGGGTGACACAGGGTGGTTTTTTGATGTGTTTTTGTGTGTGTGTGAATGTACACTTAAAACTTCATCATTGCAGACTGGTTTGTGTTGGAAGGGATGTTAAAGGTCATCTAGTTCCAACCTCCTGCCGTGGGCAGGGACACCTTCCACAGGACCATGTTGCTGACAGCCCCATCCCTGCGTACTGATAACTGTTTCTCTCAAATATGGCTTATGTCTCCAAATCTTATGTCAAATCAAATTGGTTGTCTTTAACTGGCCATCTTACTGTAAAATGTGAAAGTCAAGTTCCTGATATTACCTTAGAACTGGACTTACTTGTATGTTTAAGCGTTTTACATGCTTGGACCTTAAAATGTAACTTTTTGGTTAATTTTTCCCTTCCTGTTCCATTTCCATTGTTTCCCCCAAAATGTATTTGACGAGATTATTATAAATATCTTCATAATTGAAGGGCAAAAGCCTTATTTGCTGTCAGAATTTAGCAGGTGGTGTTGATGTATTTAAGTACAAACATTTCATGCTCTTTTAATAAATGGCATCTTTCTTGTGGGTTTTTTTGTAGTCTAACAAGCTTGTCAGTGTTCTAAAAAGATGCCTTTTCTGAACCTAAGATGCTTCTCAGCTTTTGTGTAAAACAGTAGTGATGTATGTTCATAGGAGTCACAACCTGTCATTTTGTGTGTGTCAGGAGTTTAGCCTGATGCTTGCTCTCTTGGCATGGTGGCTTCATCAGAGCTTGGTGGCTATGAGAGATGAGAGTCGACCAGTTACCTCAGATTTCTTGCAAGTATTCCTCCTCATCTCTGCTTGAAAACAGCTTCAATTATGTCGATAGTGGTGGAGCTCCATGCACAGTGCAGGAACTGAGGCATGATTGCTTAAAGCGTTTTTAATGTAATAGTGATGTTCCACAGGGGACTTTTAGAAGCAGCCTCAGCACTAGTGTAGCTGTATGCAGCAGAAATGCTTTTCTTTGCTCTCCCCTTTTCTGTGGTGTTTTATAGCAAGATTACCACGTCCACATGATATAGAGGCATAAAGGGCTGTGTGAACATGATGACATACTAGCAGCGGAATAGCCCCTTCAGTGTAATGCAGTACCTCCATTAAAAGGATCGTTTTTCTCATACGTGGGCTCTCCTGTTGTTTACTGGGAAATGGTTATTAGTGGCAGAATGTGCAGCTTGCAGCCAGGCATTGCTCTGTCAGTTATGCTGGCAGGTAGAAGTGCTGATGCTGCTGCCAGACAACTGCTGATTCCAGGTTATTTTAAGCCAGGATTGGCTGCCCACTATGGTTACAGTCAGCATACTGTATGCATACTGGTATAACTAGAGAGGCAGTCTGGAGACCAGAGTGGCTGAGTGGAGGTTAGGGACTGCTGAGATCAGGCCAGCTATTAAAATGTGTTATCCTTAATATTTAAAAATAATAATAGTTTTAAATCTGAGCAGGCCCATAAGGCCCCAAACCACACAAGTAGACAAATTGGGGATCTGGCAAAGTACAAGTGGTAGCAGCTGTGAAGAAGTTTAAAAATTGGATCTTTTCATGAAGTTCGTTCTTCTAAAATTTGAAGTTGGCTGGATGTATTAGTTTGTCTTTTCTGTAAGGCACTGTTTTGTCTGCCAAAACTGTCAAACTGCTTCAGAGGTGGCAGTCCAAATTGTCACACTTACCTGTGGCAGCACCCACACTGAAAACTTGCTGGAAGAAATAAGGGATGTTTTATGCACGTACAGGCATCATGTATAGTTTTACTTTCACGCTACTGAACTAAAGCTTTAAGCGTTCATTATAGCTGCTTTTCTAGAGAATTACTGTACAGGTAAATAGCTAGCAGAATAGAAGTTCTGAGTACGTTATAAATTTGTGTATCATTTAAAATAAGCTTGCTGAAGTGAGCGTAGACAGCTCTAAGAAGTTTGGATGGCCTTCCAGTAAGGTGTGTAAGTGGCATTGACAGCTAATGCCTGTGCAGATAAGTGGGCAATATGTAGTCATAACAAGGAATTAGACCAGATAAATGTATTTTTATGTCTGTGTGTGTACATAGTAATAACTTCAGTGTTATGATTTGTAGGACTTTGATTTTTTGAGACAAATAACTGGATTTTGGCATTAATTACTGTGACTGCACTTCTTTATTTTTTTCTAAAGTGATGTGTTACTTAACTGCATTAAGGCAGCTGTGTCACTTAAATGGTGTGTAGATTTATTTCTGCAAGATGTCAGTATTGTAACACTCCTGTTATGTTTGAAGAATGGATTAAGCCAAGTAATCAGTCCACTTGGTTTTGTGTTAATGCTATTTATAGACACAAAATAAATATGTGATAAAACTAGAATAATAATATACCTACCAGTTACCATTTTCTGTCAATAGAACTAGGATAATTTTACATTGTGAAAGCCAACACAGAGATGGTGAAAAGATTAACTGTATGTAGTAAAAACAAGTTAGAGGAAGGGCAGGAAATGGGGCTCAAATTACCTGAGGAAATGAGGCTTCGGCAGGATTTCTTGTCCCTGCCTAATGTCCTCTTGCCCATTTTGGCCTCACGTTCCTTTTTTATAAGGAGAAGTAGAATGGTGCCTAGAACTGGCAGCACAGGAGAGGAAAGGTGCACAGGACTTGGTCAGTCTGTCCACTCAGTGCATTAGTGGGATGGATGGTCAGAACGTGGGCAGCTCTTGACTATGGGCATAGTGTGGTGTCTGAGGCAGGGTTTGTGCTGTAGGCTAAAGAAAGGACCACAAAGAATACAGTTCTCTGTAGGAAACCAGACTTCCTAAGCTTGTGGCTGGCAGAGGAACTCGCCTGTCTCCTACTGCATGTTAGGGTGACTTTAAAAGTAGTTCTGTGTAGGCTGAAGGTGCTCACACCAAGGCTATTTATGCATACATATGTGTAAATATATAACACATCCTTAAAAACACCGTTAAGTGTTGCAGCAGAGCAGTACATGAAATTCCTCAAAGCCTGGATCTAATTCCAGTACAAATGTTCATCCTAATAAACTTGTTAGAGTAAACCTCGAACACTTTCTGTGAGTGATTAACCCCTTCTTTGACTTCTCACATAATGCGATTTTCTCTTTAAGATAAAATGGGAAATGGTATTTTCATTGTGGTATATTAAAAACAAATAGCAGCTTGGCAGTAGTTTAATCAAAAGTCATGAAATTTGAGAACACTTCGTTACCTGCTAGCTTGTGCTATAGAAGCATGTGCTGTGAGGGGTCTGAAAGGAGTTGCGTACCAGTTTACCACATTCTTATCTTTCTGCAGATGTTCTTTGACTTTAAGGTATCTATCTAACATTGTTTCTGTGGCTGTAGGCAAATAGCTCATAATGAATACTCGTTGTTTTGAAATAGTTTGTACAGGTTGCATTTATTTTAAATCAGTTGTATTTGTTACATTGCCTCCTCTTCTTTTTTTTCTAGGAAACCCAGCGCTTGCTGGCAGAGCCAGTCCCTGGGATAAAAGCAGAGCCAGATGAAAGCAACGCACGTTATTTCCATGTGGTCATTGCAGGTCCACAGGATTCCCCCTTTGAGGGTGGGACATTTAAACTTGAACTATTCCTTCCAGAAGAATATCCAATGGCAGCTCCTAAAGTACGTTTCATGACCAAAATTTATCATCCTAATGTAGACAAGCTGGGAAGAATATGTTTAGATATTTTGAAAGGTAAGTGCTACCTTGGTTTCTTTCTTCTGATTTTATTAAGTACAGAAACCTGTAAATGGGCCCTGAAAAGAGATTTCGTATGTTAAAAGAATACCTTGCTTATTCTTTAATCTGGGAGAGGAAAGCTTGCTTTTGCTATAGGCTGCGGTGAATATGATGTTTCACACTGCTGTAAATGTCTCTTCAGATAAATGGTCCCCAGCTTTGCAGATTCGTACAGTCCTGCTATCAATCCAGGCTTTGTTAAGCGCTCCCAATCCAGATGATCCACTAGCAAATGATGTAGCTGAGCAATGGAAGACCAATGAAGCCCAAGCCATAGAAACAGGTGATGTATCTTACATTTTTTTCTATCTAGTTTTAGGAAGTAGCTGATTATACTCAGTTGGGGGATGTAAATACCAACCTCTTGTTTTATGTTCACAACTTGCAGGAATAATTACTGCATACTGTCATAGTCCAGCTGCCCTGAATGTGTCTACAGTGGTCTGTTTTCAAGTCTGTGGTGCTTGCTAGAAGAAAAGCTCTCTTGATCTGTTTCATTGAGTGTTCATGTTGCTAAGCTTGCAGGCGTGTCTAATTTGGAGTTGTGGTAAAGCAAAGTATACACTACTGCTTTTCCTCTAAAGCTTAAGGCACAGGTATCTGGTTTCAGAAGGTACATCTCTTCCATACCCGCTTCTGTTGCGTGCTGTTATGGACTGAAAGAATTACTACATTATGCCTTTCCACTTCTGGATCCAGTGCAGTCAGGCCACTTCTGTAATATGAGGAATTGTCAGCTGCTGGAGTTCAAAACTGCACTTAAATCTCAGAACTGATATATTTTGCATACTTGCAACAGTGGCATAAAGTTATCTTTCAAAAGAAATATTTAGTTACTTTAATAGAGCCCTAAAAATACGTATTTTCTTAAATGTGTTTCCTTTTCTTTACAGCCAGAGCATGGACTAGGCTATATGCCATGAATAATATTTAAATGCGCTTTGAACATCCAAGTGTGCATCACTTCTCCTGTTCTGCCAAGACCTCTTCCTTTTTGTTTGCATTTAATGGACACAGTCTTAGAAACATTACAGAATAAAAGCCCAGACATCTTCAGTCCTTTGGTGATTAAATGCACATTAGCAAATCTGTGTCTTGTCCTGATTCACTGTTGTACCGCATGAGCAGAGGCTAGAAGTTATCATCTGGATTTTTGTGAAATTGTTTGAAAGCAGCAGCACATCTCTGCTTTTAATCATTTTTCCCATCATGGTTTAAGTATAAGCACTGTGAATGAAGGTAGGCAGGGTTAGCTGCAGGGCTTTTCGTCTTAATTTTGTGGGCTCCTCCTCCCTTTTTATGGTGATGCTAATTGCATTGGTAAAAGCAGCTAACCAGTTATACTTTAGAATATACCCTCTAGCCCAGTCTAACTTAGACGCTGTAGATGGACAAGCTTCATTGTTTGAACAGAAAAAAAATGGGAACATTAAACATCCATCACCTTCACTAATAATATTGTGATTCTGCTGTCAAGTGTAGAAAATCCCCCCAAGAAAAAGCTTGTGACCATTTTGTATGGCTTGTCTGGAAAATCTCCTGTAAATCTTATGTTTTAGTAAAATATTTTTTGTTATTCTACTTGGCCGTTGTACAGTTTATTTTGCTGTGTTTTCATTTCTCTAATGTGACATCGTATTTAAACAAAGATGGAAACCAGAACTACGATTTGTTTTCACCAGTCTGACAGATTAAACAGAGAAGAAAGAGAATTCACAAGATTTTTTTTCCTTTTTGCTTCTGTTTGCTGGCTGATTTTTATTAGCTTGTGTTATGTGGCTGACCTTACCTGGCCAATTTAATATGAAATTGAATTTGGAGTGACTTTTAGAAACAAGTCTCTGATGTAACCATTATAACCATAATAATAGCAGTGCGTTGATATGCATTTTCGTGGAAATAACCATAATTAAGCAGGAGGTTGAGAGCAGATGACAGCGCTAATTGTGAGTATCTGCATAACTTCTCTTTGCTGGTTGTCATCAGATGTTAGGCTACACAGTTTTCTAACTTCCTGAATTCTGCCCTCTATTAACATGTACTATCAGCCTGTAGAAACACGTTATGGCCAGCTTGTGTAGTGACTGATGTTTGTTTAACCACTTACAGCTAGCGCCTCATACCACTGGTTTTCTCTACAAGCCTTATTAAGCTACTTGCTTGAGCAATCAGTCTGCTTAAATCGTAGCAAAGCTTCCCTATTGGAGGGAAGGAAAGTTATGAAAAACTTCCTTCTCGTCCTTGTTTTTGGTGTATGCATCTTGTCTGAGAGTCCAGCATTTTTCTTGGCCTTCATCCATCTTGCTGCTTCCCTTAATTTCTTATATCCATATTCTCTTTCCTTTCCCCAGACCTTCTTCCTCACAAAAAAAAGGGAGGAAAAAATGTTCAAAAGCTTTTGGCAAGGCCAACCTGACGTGTATAAATGACAGCTTGTAGTGTTTGCATAGGGAGTGTTTTGTCATGCAATTCAGGGGTACGGTTATGTAGTCTGTTGGTATTCTCCCTCTTTCACCTCTTCTTGCTCCAGTGTCATCTGAAATTTCTATAGAATGTGGTGTATTTATTGTGCTCTTCTGTAAGATGAAGAATATCTATTAAAACTACGTTTTCCAACAGACAGTGCTTTCAGTGGTTAGTAACCGGTGTTGTCCCTCAAAGTATTCTTTGTAACATGGTGAAGCTTGGTTCAGAATTCAGCTTGATCACCAGACTGAGCTGTACAAAAACTGTTCTAAAACAGCTAGCTTCCATGTGGAATGTAAGATAAAGTTGCATTCAGGGTTTGTAATAAATTTATTTGTTCTTCAGAGTGGGTAAGCCCTGTTAACCCTCTCTTCTTGTTACAAGTGAGCATGTGTTTGGGTTTAGTGGGCATATAGCCTATATGTGCTATTAACATGGGCAGCTTTCATGGCAGGCAGCTGAGTGAGCTGTCTACACGCTGGATTCACCTCACCTACTTCTTAATGCTTTACTTTACACTACATGTACAGCTTTCCCTAGCTCTGCCTCTACTTCAGTGAGGAGCAGCATCCCCAAAGGACAGTCAGACCCACCTAAGCACCCCCTTTAAACATGGCT